ACCCGCCAGTGAAAACTGTGAATCTCTTCACTAGCCCACTAGGCCAGTAGTCGAGTAGGGCACCCGAAAATTATAATATCTTGACCAAAATGCTAAACCCCATGCAGTCAGTGCATTCCATCTATTACCAGTTATGGTCAAATTTAATTGGTAGCATTGAGCTCTCGGATTATTGCAACTTGAACATTTAAAAATCACATGGGATTTATTTGATTATTCATTTTTAATGTAAAATCTATAAAATTCGTCTTACACATGCAGATAACAGTTGCACTACCTGTAATTGGTGAATCTAGCATTAATTTAAAAACATAAAAAAATAAATACCAAACAAAACTAAACTAATATATTCATAATCAATATACGATATTTTAATCTTCTATTTTTATGTGAGAATATGTACAATACAATCAGTATCTTATATATATATATATATACAGGTTCCAACCAATATGACTATGACCTGATAGTCATTGGTGGAGGCTCAGGAGGATTAGCCTGTTCCAAGGAGGCTGCTCAGCTTGGAAGAAGAGTTGCTGTTCTTGACTATGTTGATCCGTCTCCACAAGGTACAAAAGATGGACATGGAGTATAGAAAGAGTCAAAGTATAGATCAGTACGCATGTGGTCGATCCTGGATGACAGTTATGCTGTTGTTAATATAGTCAAGCAAAACATGTTGTTTTTTTGCAGTCACATTCTTTCCATTTGCATTGTGAAGTCTTGTAAGCCTGGATTCAATATTATAATCACAACACTGCCTCTTGTTAGATTGAAAGTTCATCATTCATTATGTTTACTTGCATTCATTTAATGTATTATAAGATTTTAATTATGGGATATGATTTTAGTTATGCATGCAATGTTGTGTTCACTTGTAAACTCTTAGGTGTTGTTTTATTCAGGCATCAAATCCAGTTCAGTAGTTTTGGTTGGAACCATTGATTGTACATGTTTTCTGATTGCAGGCACAGTATGGGGACTCGGTGGTACATGTGTGAACGTTGGCTGCATTCCAAAGAAGCTGATGCACCATGCTTCACTTCTAGGTGAAGCTGTTAAGGGTGCTGCAAAGTATGGATGGGATGTTCCTCAGGAAACAAAACATTCATGGTAAATCTGTCTGAATGTAATGTGTTAATATTGTGATCATGGCAGGTATTATTGAGCTGTTAGGTGGACATGTGCATGTAATGAATTAATATTGTGATCATGGCAGGTATTATTGAGCAACTATATGGACGTGTGCATCAGTAGAAAAGTGGACATGAACAATAATTTAATGGAGGAATCTTATCAGCTATGTTGGCATCATTTGTATCACATCAAAACCATAAATTCAGCAGTGTGACATATATCTCTTTTTGGGTCTTTCCTTTGCAAAATTTCTCCTCGATTCTGTGATTGGTGAGAAAGAGGCAGAAAACTCCTTTAGTGGGTCTTCTATATATGCTCACATTGCTTTTTGCCTCAGGGAGGTGCTTGTTGGTGGGGTGCAGAACCATCTAAGATCACTGAACTGGGGACACCGAGTCGCACTGAAAGACAAGTACGTACCTTTAGCAGTCAGTGCTTGACGAAACCTGTACGTATTTGCTAGTAACTGTTTGTATTACTCCATGATGTTTCACCAGCTATCAATATGTCACGAAGCTATATATGCAGAAGATATTGTTTTCGCTTGCTTGGTGGTATTATAGAGTGGTATTGTGTCCAGGAGAACTCATTTAGAAGTTGTGTTTTGTAGGTCCGTTGACTATCTGAATGCGTATGGTACCTTCGTAGATGCTCATACAATAAAAGCAACCACAAGGAGTGGAAAAGAGGTATTTATATGTGTAAAAGTATGAGAAAGTAGTCGTTTATGGATTACATTTAAACGATTACGAAATACTGTGCTGAACAAACATACAGATGTGTTCTCTTAAAGGTGTGTTGCAGTGGTATTGACCTTTTCTCGTTTCATGTTGCATTTCAGACGATATTAACAGCAGACAGATTTGTAATTGCAACAGGAATGCGACCAAAATACCCACAAGTATGCTATGATTTTGAATTTTCATAGTTTTATGTACCTTGCAGAATCGAAAATACGTGAAGAATGATGTGATGCGAATCGAATGATGTGATAATTGATGTGATAAGACTGATGTGGGGCAAGCTGGTGCAAGCATGGTAGGCTGAAATGGTAGGCTGGGGCGGCGACGTAGTCGCGCGCAAACCAGTTTGTTTATACCGCTGGTATCGCCATCTAGTGGACCGAAACTCAAAAATTATCAGTTTTCGGCCGCAGCAGTTTCACGGCGAGTTTCGGACCGGGAGAAACCCATTTCGCCATCTATAAACAATCAATTTGCGCGCAAAGAGCCTGGTCCCATTAACTTTGGCCGATTCCTGTAATGATGACGTAAAAATTACGTGTCATCGTAGTCTTTACCTTGTTACAGATGGAGGGGGCTCGAGAGTATGCACACTCCAGCGATGATCTCTTCTCACTGCAGAAACCACCGGGAAAGACGTATGTAATAGAAGTTCATCGCCTATCCTGTCTAGTGTTGCATGTGCTGGGCTAATTTATATAAGAGATGCAGAAAAGCGAATTCGTAGTATGAATTAGACAATTCTGCTCTCAGTGTTTCATTGTCAGGAAAGAGTATACTAATTACTTTCTAGGCAACCTCACTAATTGATAAATTAATGTTGATTAAATTGACTGACAAAATATGTTGAATGATTTCTAAGGAGGAAGAATCGTTTTAATTGTTAACGCTTGTCAATCAATCTGCAGATAATTCTATGTTCAATGGCTTTCTCTTACAGGCTAGTTGTTGGAGCAAGCTGTATCCTTTCAATGACACTTACTCTACTGGTATATTTATTTAATTGACGATTATGGTATCACATTTTTTAAATCTGCTAAAAAAATAGTGCAGCGCTTTGCTATGCTTTTCAAGAAAATGCCATGAAAAAACCCCATTGAATTCTTATCTGTATATGTTTATCTGTCTGAAATGTGATATGTAACAAAAAATGTCCTAAGTTGACTTGTTATCTTACATTTGTTTGATATCGATTTAAGAGCTATTTCAAGAGCTCATGTTACCCTGTAAAGGCTGTATGTCCTGTACCGACGAAAATAAAGATTCCTTTACTTTACTTTTATCACAGAAATAGTGTAATAAAGGTGACAAATACATTCCTTTGTTAAGATGTCGTAAGATAGCCTATTATGGAGAGTTGGCAGTGAGCTTTGGTGTGGCTTAGTTACAAATTAAGTGTTATCGTTGCTAACCGTGAGCTTAGATGTTGCTCTGGAGTGCGCTGGATTCCTAACGGGACTTGGCTATGATGTCACTGTTATGATGAGGTCGATACCACTACGAGGATTTGACCAGGTGAGGTAGCACCTTGTCTGCGACATATATCAGGTAGTTTATCTATCATAATCTTTTTGCGAAGCAAGTCTTAAAATACTCATGTTAATTGTTAATGTCAATTGTTACCCAATAGTCTGCTTTGTTTCTGTGAAAATGTCGCCACAGATTGCATAAAAATCATCATATGAACCTGTTTAATGAGGCATTAATGAATCACTCATTGTGAAGTGCGGGCACTTGGTAGTCTAGTGGATATCATACTTGACTTTGCACTGAAAGGTCTGGTGTTTGTATCCCACTGTGGTCATTGCTGGTGTGCCCTCCAGGAAGGTACTTTATCCCTATTTATTGCAGTTGACACCTGCTGTAGAAATGTGTTTTATCTCGCCAGCATGAGGGTTAGCAATATCACCTGTGTAAGATTGAGATATATAGCTTTGCTGGACAGAGCCTTTTAACAGAACCAAAACTACACAGTTGTGGAGGGAAAGTGCTCGATGAATGGCGCCAAAGGGGGGTAGACAAAAATTGCGAAGTTGTGAATTTCTCTGTGGTTACATGTTGGTGCGCTCATCCCATCTCCCCACCATTTTGCATTGCTCGTCTTCGCTCCCGTAGCAAATGGCGGAGCTGGTCATAGACAACATGGTGTCGCACGGCACGAGGGTGCTGCGTGGATGCGTTCCCCAGCAGATTTTGAAGCAGGCTTCGGGCGAGCTGGCTGTGACGTGGCAGCGCCAGACCGGCGGGCCGGGGTCAGCCGTGGATGCAGACGACTCCGATGAGTTCTCAACAGTCCTGTTAGCCATCGGTGAGTATAGCGCAGCAGCAAGCTGAATGACGGCTACCAACACCAGCTTATTACGGCTCAAGGGGTCGTTGTCGTATCAGGTACTACAGATATGTACCCGAGGTACATATATGTATACACAAAGTGTACCAGACTTGTACTACAGAAGTGTACCCTAACCCTAACACTAACCCTAACCCTAACCCTAACCCTAACTCTAACTCTAACTCTAACCCTGAACATACCTCATATAAAAATATAAACATAATACTAAACAACCTAAAACTACCTCGGGTACATATCTGTAGTACCTGATACGACAACGACCCCATCTGCCTTATTACGGTTATTGAGGTTTTCTACTACCGTGCCAGATCCCATGTGCTGCAGTGGCTAGATTTAGTGTAGTGTAGTGACCCGAGAAGAAGAAGAACAAACACCACTTATTCATTTCTGGATCTTGTCACCTATTGCAGTCGAGTGACAATAAGGCTACGCAACCTTATTCAGTTCGATAGTTTGTTGTTTTCATTAGATAGAATGAATAATAACAGGAGTAAATAATCACAAATTGTGATTATTTGTGATTATTTACTACTGATAATAATAAAATAGTTTATGGACGAAAATGTGGACGACATTGGATAAAATTGTGTTGATCTGGATGAAATTGTGATGACAGTTTTTGATTATTTGCTCCTGATAATAATAGTTGCTCTGAATATAGTTTCTGGATGAAAAGATAGCTTTTCATTAACCAGATGAGTAACTGTGTGTTTGCTCTACAGGCAGGGAGCCGTGTACAAAATCACTCAACCTTGATGTCGCCGGCGTGAAGATGAACGAATCGACGGGATTCATTGTCGGATCAGAGGAGGAGAGCGAGAGAACGTCCGTCCCAAACATATATGCCATCGGCGATGTCCTCCAGGTATGTCTCTGTTGCTATCTTGGGCCATCCTTAAAAAATTATATGTTTGCTGTCCTCCGACCGACCCACAAAAATAGCCGCGACCCAAAATATTTTTTTTACATTTTGGGTTCCATATTTTATTTTATTTTACATTTTTTATAGTTAAGACTGAAACACAAAGCATGTGTGGCAAACATAAGGACAGACTTAAAATAACTATTATGCCTCACACACAAAAAATCACCTACCTACCTACCCACTAAAAAAATCATGGGTCGGAGAAAAGCAAACATAGAATTTTTTAAGGATGGCCTTATTTTGG